CTCACTCCCCTTCCCCACCTCACTCCCCTCCCCCAATTCTTTTTCTGTCTCCCACTCCGCAAGGGTTCCGAGAACTTTCTGGGGTGAGTTTTAGAATTTGCTCCAAGGCATTCTTTTTCTGCGTTTGGATTTTATCCCTTGATTCTTTGGGTTGGTAAACTTCATGAGATGGTAACTTGACTGAAGCTCATTTGGAGAGAAGAGGGGAATGAGGCGGTGTGTGTTTGGGGCTGGTGTTTGTCAATGTGAGTGTGTAAGAGCACACCTGCATTCAAGGGGGTTTGTAGTGTCCGTGCGACATCTGAGGAAGGTCAGTCGGCGAGCGAGTGGCGAGGCCCCACGCTGTACAGGTGGTCTGGTCTCCGGGGAGCGAGTCCCACGTGCGCGTTTCGGAGGGCGGGACAGTCCTACGCTGTCTCTGCGGGGCAGCGCGTCTGTGAAGTCGCTCTTATCCTTCGGGTGTGCCCCTGTGTGCCTGGTCACTGAGTGCGCGGCCGTCTACGTGTCGACCCAACCAATGGTAGTGCTCCCAACGCCGCGAGCCCAGCTTTGGGCCGCTATAGCCGCGGCCTCCCCGCGAGGCCCGGGCACTGAAATTCTGGGGGCTGCGGCAGGGCTGGGGGTGACACAGCCAAGGGCGTCCCTCCCCAGCCTCCAGACTCAGCTCTTCCCCCTCTCCTCTAATTCCAGCATCTTATTACGCCGGCGGCTCAGGGGAGGCAGCCTCAGCACCTGAAGCCTGGCGGGGGGGGGGGTGCGGGGAGTGGCTCCCGCGTTTCCCGATGTGGCCGCACACGCTCGTAGGGCTGCGGTGTGCTGCGTGGGTGCGGGTCGTGGTCAGCGTGCGTTCGCTTTTCTCAAAACTCCACTCCGAGGGTCCGAGCGCTTGGGGGCGCCTGGGGGCCTGCACGCCCGGGGCTTTTGGGAGGCGCCAGCGTCCGAGCCTGCGCACCTCGCGCAGGAGGCCAAACCCCCGAAGGCCGCGCGGGTCCGGGTGTGGGGACCATTAATTACTCTGCGCCAGGCCTGAAGCCTCCAACCCCCAGCAGCGGTTGGCTTGGATGTCCTGCGGATTTTATTTGCACACAATGGAAATGATTTGTTTTCTCTAAAAAAGGAGAGGGCAAGGCAGACATTGGAGGAGGGGGTGGGAGGAGGAGAAGGAAGGGGAGAGAGCTGAGGAAAAAAGTTTGAAAATGCCTTGAACTATTCACTGTCGAGATGGCTAATCAGTATTGAGGCCGGAGGGCAGGCGGGCCGCCTTTCACCGCCGCTTCCCTTTCATCTCGGGCTCGGCGGAGGCGCTCAATTAAAAGCCTATCAGTTTGTAAGTAAATCAACGCCTATCAGAGTTGTCACATCAAACAAAACGATTATTATTGCAGCCCGCCTCCCCTATTAATCTCCCTCGAAGATAATCCGCCTGACAGGTCAGGCCCGGCGAGCTGGAAAGCCTGGTCCAGAGCACCCAAACAGTCCCGGACTGGCGCGCGCCCCCAGGGGCCTCCCCACCCCTGTCCTGCCCCGCCTCCCGGTCCCTGGGAGCAGGGAGAGAAAGCGCGCGCGGAGGCCTTTGCACCCAGGTCCACCCCACCGGACTGGGAGCAAGGCCCAGATTCGCGGGGCCAGTAGGGGACAGTCCCGTGCGGCCCTCGCTCCTGCTTGGGGTAGGGGAGAAGCCTGGCGTGCAGGAGCCGCGGCCCGGCCTTGTCCCGGGGTCTCGCCATGGCCTGCGCTCTCCTCAGCGCGCCTCTCCTGCCTGTCATTTCTTTTTTCTGTCTCCCTTCTCCTTTTTGTTTCCTCTCTCGCGTCTTTCTGGGCTCCCCCATCTCTTTCCTTCATTTCCTTTTCCCTTTTCTTACTTGCCAGGGAGTATTTCCCATTCTGGCTCCCTCTTCTCGGTGTGCGGTATAAACCCTTCGTGCGCAGTCACACTGCCTGGAGTAGGACGTTCTCAGGTACCGCGGTATTTCTCCCGCGGCAGGGTTGCCCCAGGAGTGTGCAGTTCCTAGAAACTCATGGCAAAGTCCTCTCTAATCTCTTTCCGAGCAGGGGCTCTGAGAAGCTCTGCTCCTGTTTAAGGGTTGGGTGGTTTTGGAGGGGTGAAGAGGAAAAAAAGAGGGAGAGACACTGGTGGACAATTGCCCTACTCTGGAATTAGTATTTGGCCTTGGAATTTCACAGCCGCAGCGTTGCCGACCTCGCTGTTGGCGTTGCCCGGGCTTTTCAAATACGTAGATAAGACTCACGGGGGCATCCGGGCCTCAGTAGTGACTGTGTGTGTGTGCCTGATAGAAGTAAATACACCCAGATAACTGCCTCTGTGGCCCCAAGTTAGTGCCCCAAGAGTATGGGTGGGGCCTGACTTCTAGAAGGCGCAAAAATCGTGGCCTTCTTCCCGGTGGCCTCCGCTTCCTGCTTTGGGATGCCTCGGAATCGAGCCGGACCCGCCCTTTTCTGCGCTCTTCCTCCACATCTATAGACCCAAACAGCCACTGCCAGAGCTAGGTGGAGCCAGGATTGAGGGGTAGCTTAAGTGTCTGCGAGGAAAGGGCTGCCTGGGGGAGCTCAGGCCTGCCACCTGATATGTCGGTTCAGTGCTCCGCGAAGGCTCTTCGCGCCCGTCTCTCGGAGGACCCCCAGGGCGCTGCAATATGGGGCATCAGGGCCGAGCCTCTCGCAGCAGTCACGCGGGGAGGCCACGGACATCCAATAGAGCCCACTTCAACTTGCATGGTGCATGGGATCCAGGACCGGTGGCCCCCACACAGGGTTTCCGAAAGCCTCTCCATTTGTCTGCACTCTCCACTGCCGACCTTGTAGGAAATTTATTTCCATGCCCAGAAATATTGTTTGGACACAGTGGCTCGGTTATCTTCGCGCCTGCTTTTCTTAAATATATTTATTTCACCTCTGCCACGCTGCAGATATTTAAAGATCTGTAGATACCGTAACCCTCAGCGATGCGGGACTCACACTGGTTATAGATAATATTCTCTGGGTGGTTATTTGGACATAAGTTCTATCTCCAGCCCTGATGACACCCAAGCAGGGGCTGTAAAAGGACACTTGTTCTATAATTTTTTCAAATGAAATATATGTCCACACACGGAGAATTTAAGAGTATTTTTATATTTCTCTCTATATCTAAATATTCAATGTGTTAATTACATGCCCTGGAAGCTGGAAGCGATCAGTGGTGTTCACGGTGGACGTGGAGCTGTTTGTATAACTTTCATCTCCCTGCACTTACACATGAATCTCAGTCTAATAAATTCAACCTTGTCATTTTTAGAATCGACGGGATTTCTCTGGCTGTCGTTTGCGCTGCATTTATCCGAATAAATCCAGCTCGCAGGCATCCTGCAGGAAACGGCTCCCGGCTCGCCTGTACGCCGACACCTCGGCCCAACGCGGGACTCGAGGTGGCTCCTAGTGCCTGGGCGGCTGCTAGTCCGGCCTCCGAGGGAGGCTGGACAAGCGGCGCCCCCAGGTCGAGCGGCCTCTCACTGCCTGGCAGCCCCCAGCTCTGCCGGTGCTTCGGAAACCCGCCTGGCCAGGTTCGCCCGCGGTGAAAAATGAAAGCAAATTCCTCTACAGAGGTAGCCCGAACTTTACTTGACGAAGGCTCTCTCTTGAGCCTGGATCTCGGAGAACCCCCAGAGCGCTGCAAGTTAGCAACAGAGATTCGATGGCGGCTCCGGAGGGCGCGCGAAGGGTGGCGCGGGGGGGCAAAAAGGACACTGGGTGACCCAGCCTGGCACGGGGCGAAACGCAAGAGAAGGCGCCTCGCCTTCCTTATTTCAATGCAACTCCTCGGCCCTAGACGGTAAAAATAGTTTCCAAGCTGCCGCGGACGCCCAGGATGTTTGCAGAGATCAAACTGGGGAGGAGGCGGCTTTGTAAAAGTTGCAGAAAGATTAGCCCAGAAGCGTCAGCCCAGCGGGGCTCAAGAAAGCTTGGGGACAGCTTCACGTTCCTTGGGGCGGAATGGCCCAAGAATTGGCCTGGGTAACCCCCTGCCCAGTTCTCTGTGCTCACTTCGAGCCAGCGCTTAAATAACTTCCCGCCGCCTGCCCTGCAAACTTCCAGGCGCGGCGCCGGCGAGGCCAGGACACAGCAAAGGCTAGCAAAACCCCGCCGCGGCGCGCTCGGCCCCAGCCCTGAGAGGCTGCGCGGGGTGGGAGAACCAGTGTGGTTTCCGCTCCCACTCGGCTGCCCAGACCCTCAAGACCGATCCCCCCAACTCCTGGGAGCGGGTGCTTCCCTCTGGGAGTCGATATCTTGCGGGGCCGGCGAGGGCGCAAAGTGCGCTCGCTAGCCCGCGCGGGGGCGGCCGCGCGTCTCTCCGCGGGGCCTGTTGCCAGGCCGGCCGCGGCGGGTGAGTGATGAGGGCAGAGAAGGGCGCCCATAAATCGCGGGTGTCAGGGCGAAAAACTCTCTTTATTGTCTGCGTGATGGATGGGCCCGGGGACGAGACACCAAATACTTCGTATCGCCTTTAAATGGGAACACATTTTCCGCGGCCATAATTCATGTTTTTTAAATAGAAAGTTTGAAATGTTGCCTATATTTCACCAGCCCTGACATATTTATGAATCGCTCCCTGCATGCAAATATCATTATTTAAAGCGCCGGGGAGAGCGCGGGGGAGGGGAGGAGGCGCGGTTCCTGGGGCGTGGGGGTGGTGAACCGGGGAAATGTCGGTGGAGGGGGGCCATTTCCCTAAAGGGCAGAGGGTGAGGTGCGGGGAATAGCCGTATCCGGAAACCGAGCGTGCCCCGGGCTTCTCTCCCGCCGCCGGACCCCGCACGGCCGACCCGGGACGTTTTTCGAGGCTTGGGACCTAAGACAGGCCCCCGGCCCCTGCTGGGAGACCAGGGGGCGTTTTTCGTCCCTCTCTGAGGCCGTTATCCAAGCCGAAACCACCTTTTCTAAGAAACAAGTTTAAAAAAAAAAAAACCAAAAAGAATTTTAAAAACACAAATAATAACCCAACATGTTTCGTGTTCTTTGCCACTGCATCGATTTTATTGATTTTCATTCTCCAAACCTGGGAATGTGCGCACCCAGGAGGGGAGACTGTCAAAACCCAGTCACCTCGGGGACTGGGTGGGGGACAATTCTCCGACGCCGCGGCCTGGACCCGCCCCCACCCAACCGGCGCACCACCTCCCAGGCACCACGGAGCCTGCGCAAGCTGCGGGGCCTTAACGCAACCGGCCCGCAAGCTGCCGGGGCTTCAGTCCCGCCTCTCTGTCTCCTCTGCGCCCTGCAGCGCTCCTAGGGTCCGTGTCTGCCCTCCCCAAGCCCCCACTGTCAATACAATCGCTGTAAAAAAAAAAAAAAAAAAAAAATCAATCTTTTTAAAGCCAGGCACTTGCCGTCGGCCTCTCCCCTGCCCGCCTGACCCAGGAGGCGCCCACACCTGCGTCCTCACTGGCCGAGACTTTACCTGTGCAGTCCCCCGCGGCGCCTGCAGCCGCGCAGGTAACCGAGAAATGGAAGGGAGGGCTGGGGAGTGGGAGGGACAGAGAGCACCGCCCGACACAGCCAGACGCGCGGACCCGGGGCCTCCTCTCTGGACCGGTGCTGGGGCCCCGGCAGAACCAGCTCCAGGAGCCGAATTGCGCCAGGAAGAGTGGGCCGGGGGAGGGGCGACGGGAACGGGCCTCGGGAGGGAGGGGCGGGCCCGGCGGCACTTCCGCTGGGGGTGGGGCTGCGGGCTGACGCGCCAGTCCCGCCCCTCAGCCGCGCGGGCCCGCCCGCTCCAGGCCAGGCTCCGCCCCCACCGCCCCGGAGCGGGATCTCAGGTCACGGCCCCCCCAAGCGCCCCCGCCCCCGGAGGCCTCGGGCTGAACCGGGTTTCGTGGGAGGGCAGAGGGCGGCTCCCTTTTCCTCACCTGGGGGGTACTCTCTTTTTAAGTCATAGGAACAGAAGCATCTGCGGACTAGGATCCCAGGCCCAAACTTGCACGTAAGATTTGTTGAAACTTAGGTCATTTGGTACTCCTGGCCCAGGGGTCCTCGAACTCTCTCTGCGGATGTGAGCAGCCATCCTCTCGGACAGTCGGGAATATAGTCTGTGATCACAGGGCCCCACCTATCTTTCAGGAAGAACAAAAACAAAAACTAACACTTTTGATTGTTCATTTTGTGCCAGGTGCCATTTAGAAAATTTCATATGAATCATGTCCTCGCCCACAGCGACTCTCTGAGGTAGGTACCATGAATGCCCCATTTCATAGATAAAGAAATTGAGGCACAGAGAGAATAAATCGACCTTGCCTCACCCACATCCCATCCTTATCCTTATTCCTTCTTTTCTTCAGATCTGGAGCATCCCAACTCCTTACCCTGGGGGAGTATTGGAGGGAGGGGGACTTTTACTTTTCTGATGGGGGAGTACCAGCCTGTTAACCACAACCATTTGCAGCTGAGGCCAGTGCAGAGCAGGAGGGGGATCTGTACAGAGGAGAACGGTATAAATGGCATGGGGTCATCTCAACCCCTGGCCAGCTCCCAGCCTAATGGGAAAAACGGACCATTGAGCATCCTGTAGTCCCAGCCCAAGCCAGCGTGCCTTCTTTAAAAAGCAAATCCAACCATGTTTCTCTTCTGCTTAAAAGCATCCGGGTTCCCATTGTTCTTGAGAACAAGTAGAGCTTGCCTCCCCTGGCTGGCGGGTCTACACTGGCTCTGCCCCAGCTTGCCTTTCTGCCTTGGTCTGCCTCCACACCCCCTCACCCAGAACTCCTGCTACCCAAGGCTTCGTTTTAGTTCCTCAAGTGTGCCATGCTACTCCCCACCTCAAGGGCTTTGCTCCTGCTTTTCTCTGCCTCTCTGGAATGACCTGTCCTTCTCTTCACCTGCCTTACTCATCCTCTTCCTTCAGGTCTCAGCTCACACATCACTTTCCTGCGTCCTCCCACGTCCCATTACCCTCACTTATAATAGAATTTCCTGTTGAGAGTCTGTCCCCTTCACTGGATGGTAAACTCCCAGGGGACTGGGGCTGTTCCTTCAAGGAACAAATGAAGAAAGAGCATTTGTGTAAACCACCAACTATGATGAATGAATGAAACTGCACTTTTTGGGGCCACCAGTAAGTATTCTGTATGGTCTCACATTCCAAGATGTTCTCAACTTAATGAGGAAGATGATACAAATCTCATGAAAATGTACATTATTTTGAATGCCTTTATTGTAAATGTCAAATAAGGGGATGCTGGAGGAGGTTGGAGAAGAGTAATATGCATGGATTACAGCCATTTATTCAGGGTTTCAAGATGCAAGATGTGTTGGTTGACACAATTTAATGGAAAAACATGCCACCCGCGACCATCTCCCAGTGTTGGGCATATATGTCTCAAGGCTGTAGCCTGTGCCCCCTTTCCTCTTCCTTTCTTCACATATTATTGCTATCACAGTTCAGTCCTTACTAGTTTCTGACTGAACTGCTGCTACAAGAACCTTCTAATTGTTCTGCCCATCCTCCACCTCTCCTGCCTCTAATCTGTTATACATACTCCTACTGGGTTAATTTTCCTGACCATATCATTCCCTTACTCAAAAATCTTCAGTGGCTCCCTATCACACAATGTAACACTTGACTCTTCATAACCCACTTCCAAACTACTTTTGTAAAGCTTTAAGATGCATTCCAAAATTATGAAAGAAACACATGTTCACCTCAACTAGGAAAACACTCAAAGATATACAAAGAAAAATATTAGTGATCTTCTTCACCTCCTCTGCATTTCCCACCCAGTCTCCCAAGATATCCATTGTTAAGGACCTGCGGTATAACTTCTACCCCTTTCACCATTCTCCATGCTCATAATAAACTACATTCATATATATGGAGCTATTGTGTTATTGCCTGTTTATACAAAAAGGATTATATTAGGGGTCTCTGCAACTTGCTCATTCTTTCTTAATAATAAATGGGTCTATAGATATGGATTGAATATATTCATTTTTTAGCTACATAGTAATTTTAATTTTTTAAAAAAATGTGTATATGTATGTAAGTATTTTAGACAGGGTCTCACTTTGTTGCCCAGGCTGGAGTGCAGTGGCACAAACATGGCTCACTGCAGCCTTGACCTTCCAGACTCAAGGGATCCTCCCGCCTCAGCCCCTCAAGAAACTGGGACTACAGGTACGCACCACCATGCCTGACTAGTTTTTGTATTTTTTGTAGAGATGGGGTTTTTCCATGTTGCCCCAGCTAGTCTTGAACTCCTGAGCTCAAGGGATCCACCTGCCTTAGCCTCCCGAAGTGTTGGGATTACAGGCGTGAGCCACCATGCCGGCCAGCGACATAATGTTTCGTAGGATGTATATACTACACCTATTCAACCATTCCCCTATTAATGGGCACATAGACTGTTACCAGGTTTTTTTTTGCTGATAAAATTTCTTATGTCTATATCCTTGCAATTAGTGATTTTACTTCTCTAGGATAGTTTACCAAAAGTGCAGCTACTTACACATCAGCCAAATTGAATTTCTTTGTTCTCCCCACATGCCCTGTGTTTTCCTTCTGTCTCCTCTGCCTGGAAAGCCCTTGTCCTCCATGCTTGTGTGTCTAACTTCCAGTCCTGCAGTGGTCAAATCTGATACCAGAATTTAGATATATTATCTGATATCCGCTTCCCTCCACCTTCCTCATTTGAACACTGCAGTAATGTACCAGGCCCAGGCAGTGGTTTGCATTTGGCATAGGCCAATCATGACAATCCTGTTTTCATCTTTCCCTTGCATTCCTGTAGCTGGGTGGCCATGCAACCTATTTTGGCAAATGAGGAACAAGTAGAAGTACAGGGGTGGCAAAGCAGGAAGTGAGTGTTGAGAAGCACTCTATTTTCATGATCAAAGGGGATGATGCCTATGGTTGGACCCTTCCCTTTCCCCTCCTTCCTTGCATGAGCTTGGACATAATATCTAGAGCTGTAGTAGCCATCTTGTGACCATGAGGGAAAGTCCTAGAAAACAGAAGAAAGAGACTTAATCCTGATGTCATTGGGACACTGAGCCATCACCAACAATCCTCCTTCTCCAAAACTTTTATTTTGTTAGAAAAATCCCTATTCATTTAAGCTAGTGAAATTGGGGATTTTTATAATTGTAGCCAGACATATTCTTCACCTACTTTAGCAAGAAATACCACCTTCCATCTCAGAAAAGGAAAAAAAAAAATGCCATCACAGTGGTCCAAAACAGTTTTTAGAAACTTTAGAGACTTGCCTTCAAGTATAGTTTTTGAAATAGCCTCAGAAGCAGACAAACAGTCTTATGGCATGGCTTTGGTATTTTAGAATGGCCAAAAGACACCTGGAGGCAAGCGTGGTAATACCTTTAACCTTCAGTGCTACAGTAAAGTATTGCATGGTGGACATTTAATTTCTTCCTACTCATTTGGTTGCCTAACATCTGAATCCTCTTGCTTGTTGGAAAGCAGGACCTGCATCTGATTACTGAAGTGGAAGAGGCCACATCCTCCTTCTCTCTGCCCTCTACCAGTGGATGCTCCCTACCTGGGTCTCAGACTCAAAGGGTGAGCAGAGGATTGTGGTCGTTTGGAAACTCTTCTCAGTAGCAGCAGTGAGCCCAGTGCAATGGCATTGACTAGGAGGGGCAGAGAGGACAGTCACTGCCATGTACACTGTGATCATGGCAGCCACTCAGGCAGTGGCCTAACTCAGCTGGTATGGTAGCATAGCCAACCACATTTCCATTTCCCAGCCGCTGACAATTCCTGTCCGCTTCCCAAGTCTAGGTCTCTAGTCTTCCCACCAATTCTGTGAACTTCCTGATATCCTTTTGATACATTCCTTTTCTGCGTAAGTTAATCAGAGCTAGTCCTGGTCACTCACAACCAACAACATCAACTGATTTGCCATAGCCTGGCTGTTCAGGTGGCTTCTAAACAGGTCCAATGGTGATTACTTCTTAGTTGTGTCTGTGGGTTCCTATGATGGGTACTTGTGTGGGACCCCAGCACCAAACAGCCTGGCTGAATACCACCCTGACCAGGTAACAACTTCAGCCGAAAAATTGATCAATGCAATAAAGAGAAGCAGTCATGTCAGCGCTGAGTGAGAGAATCACACTTGGTTTTATTGAGTGCCTACTGTGTCCTGGACAGAATTCTAGGTAGATTACAACATTACCTTACCTCTTACCAAAGCCCAGTGAGAAAATAATTTTTATCTCCACCTGGTTTGAGAATGTACAGAATTTTTCCCTTCTAGTCCTTCCCTCCCACAAGCTTGGATGACACCCAATATTTCTGATTAAGGTTTCTAATGCATCAAAGGACACTGTCAAGATCGACGCCTTAGGTAACAATCAACTCTGCTTTTTCTTAGCAGAGCTTAAGAGCTTAAGAAACTGGTACCTCGGGGTGCTCAGAAATATTTATGGAATGCAATAAATGGCACAGAAACATCTCCAGGGGACATTTCCTTGGGAAAGTGGTGGTCTGAAGCATTTGGGGTCTTGTATGAGTATGGGGGGAAGCACCAGGGAAGAGGTAGGTTTTCCCTACTCACTGCACTGCACTTTCCCAAACCTTGACCTTGGCCAATATGCTTCATGTCTCTGGGCTTAGTGTTTATTCTTCTTTTCTCTTCTTTTTCTGTCTCTATCCCTACTTTTTCCCTTCGTTTCCC